AGTTGGATTGATGAGATATTTATTGCAATTATAGGACTCCGTACCAGTAAAAATAATTAGTGTAGGGCATTGGCATGCATGCATGATCAGCATGCAATCCACATCTGCAACCATCTAGACGGTTCATTTATTGGGTTTACTCCAGAATCCGGATGCCGGAATACAATGTTTGTTTTTCCCTTTTGACTAGATTTTTGAAATATGAACTTAGTGATATGTTTTAGTAAAAAAACTTAGTGATATGTAACAGTTTTTAGAACATAATTACATAATCTTGAGTTACTCCAGAATCCGGATGCCGGAAATCTCGGGGGAATAAAATCAAACAAGGGAGCAATCTGACATGAGCAAGAACACCAAATCATGATTCATCTATCTAATTTATATCAGGAAATTAATTATGTGACAATTCAATAACTAATTAAAAGGTAAGAATTATAGAAAATAAAAACTGATTTTTAGAGATATGGATAGAGAAGCTATGTCGAAATCACTAAATTTTAGTGCGTCTATAACAAAATGTGAATGTAACTTAAATTAAGGAAAATTTGAAAGTTGGGTTTGCCCTTCTCTATTACGTAGTAAAAGATTACTCATGAAAGTTGGGTTGTCCATCATTTTGATATTTCTGTTCATTGGTATTATTCATTAATAATCACATGTGCTTCTTTAGTTCTTTAATTATTAATCTTAATTTCAGTTAATAGATACTACGTACTATCGTATTATTCTTTAATCACAGGTGCTTCTTTAAACTTAGAGACAATTCCTAATATGGGAGTAGAACATAGATAATATGCCAAAATAGGAGTCCTACTTTATCAGCCATGTTTGACACGGGATTTTTATGTAAGTGAGTGTATTACCCTTAATGAAAAGAAGCTGAAGACTTCCGTTCTCGTAATGAAAGATGGATTATTTATTAGTTATTCATTAGTTAATACGGAGCACAAAACAAAATACAAAAGTAGAGTTTTACAAAGATCTGATCTAAATACTACCACACCAGATTTGTGCCACCGGCCACCATCTCCTGTGCTGCTGTCGTCGGCACTACCGTCGCCGCCGACATCACCAATGTGCTACTGCTCTCAAGAGACTCTTCATTTGTCACTTCCGTATTTTCCAGCGCCGCCGCCGCCGCCCTCCGGCGAGCCCTCCGCTTGGACTGCTGTGGGAGAAGCTAATTCGTGTCAGGCTTAATTGATTACAAGCAAATTTTATAATGATTTTACTTTAATTTTATCAGGTCTATTTCTTCAATTTTGCTTCAATTTTACCAGATCTATCTCCAGATCTATTTTATCTTTTTTTGTTGATTTTTCTACTTTTTCTCTTTCAATTTTGTTTAAGCTTATGTTTTTTGATATTTAATTTATATTTGGCAATACAAAATATAATTTTTGAAATCTGGTTTCAATCAATATTTTTGTAATTTTCCGGATTATTTTATGAATTGAATCTATAATTGCTAATGTTTATTTTGCACTTATTGCCAGATTTTTTCCATTTCTTATGTTACTCCATCGGGATGGCAAATAGTGCCAAATTTTTATTATATACAAAAGATGTTATTTTTTTCATTTATTGTCATTTGTGTATGGCACTAAATACATGAAGATGGCAATATTATGAATGCAAAATGACATTTTTGGCCAAACATTTTGAAAACATAACATTTGTAAAACAATTTTGACATATTTTGACATATTTTTGTGTAAAATGACAATTTTGCCAAACATTTTGAAAGCATGGCATTTGTAAAATAATTTTGCCATGTTTTTTTAATGTATAATTTTGCCATCTTAATACATTCAATATCATAAAAATGACATTGCTTTCAAAAAAAGTTTTCGAAAAAATAAACATTAGTTATAGAATTTTCAGATCCAAAATCCTTAAATTGAAATTTTTAAAATAAAAAAATGAAAATTAATAAATACAAATCAAATTCAGTTTTATTCAATCACCGGATGTTTGTATTGTAATAATAAAAAGTCAGATCTGAAATAACATTTGTCAAATTTAAAACCTCAAAATAAGAAAAATTAAAAAATCAATAGAAGAAGAAATGAGAGGTTGAAGGAGAAGAAGAAGGGAGAGAAAGAGAAGGCTCAGAAGAAAAAGATATACCTTTGACTGGAGATTGAGTTTAATTTTCCGTTCACACCTGAAATTTATCAGGAACAGTGGATTATTTAAATCTGAAGAAGAAGAGGAACAGTGAAATTGAACAAGTTGAAGAGGAAAGAATACATATAATTAGGATTTAAGAAGGAAGAAGAGAAAAAATGGAGAAAAAGATGTGGGAGACATGTGGGAGATGTGAGTGACGGATGAAAGAAAAAAAGATAAAGATGGAAGAGAAAGGAGAAGGTGGGAGAGATTAGACAGGTGGTGGGTGAGGAGAAAAGGTGTGAGAAGAAAGAGAATAAATCACGGATGTGATGCAACGGAACGAAAAAATATGGTCGAATATAATGTAAGGGCATTTAAGGAAAAAAATCAAAATGGTTGGAACTAGCGGCAGAAAAGTACTCCTGTTTAGAGAAATAAACTTAAGAGCTCCTATTATTGCACATTTCATATGTTTAACTCCCATTAAGGGTAACTTCAGATCAGATTTTCAGTTAATAAATTCTTTAATTGTTTTGATAATAGATATATAAAGTTAAATAATGATATTTTACTTATTATCTTACTTTTAATTTGGGCTATTCTAAGGTGCATAAATTTAGGTTATTCGGATCATTTAGCTCAGCCCACAATTGCTTTCATCTAAATATGCATGTTTCTACTTGAAGTATGTGTCCGGAAGGTGTAAACCCCAAGAAGGCAAAAAGACGAATTTCCATTTGAGTGTGTGGAGATCAAAACAAGTGTCACCTGAAAGAACGAAAGGGTAGAAAGTATACCAACATATTAGCGGGCTAGTCACAGCCCAAAGATTGACAAGAAATACTACCTCCGTGTTTGGGACACTTTGATTTACAATGTTCGACTGACGATAAAATAAACAGATCCCTATCCGCACTCAAATAATTTTTTTAAAAATAAATTACATATTCAAAAATTACATTAAAAACTTTACAAAGTCGCAAAAATCAGAATCAAATTTGGTAAAAATTTGATATATAAAGTTAGAGATTAAAAGTGATTTGTGTTGACTAAGTGAATAGTGTCTGGGACGATCTTAACCAGACGGAGGGAGTAATATTTCCAAATTGGAAGTTAGGAGAAATGGAGGATATTACGCTCATATTTTTTCAGTCACCATGATTCAATGTTTCAACCTAAAAAATTGACAAGTTTAGATCCTGATGTGTCTTTTTCAATTTGCTTTAATTTCCAATGAATCGTGTCTTTTATGCTTTAATTTGCTCCGTTTTCTTCTTTTTCTTAACCGGGTTTGAGGGTGTCGTCGCGTGTTGTTCTTCATGTGTGTATCTTTCCTTGAGTTCTTTTTGAGAAACGCTAGAGAAATGAAATGTGAATTAACATACGTGTGTATATAATGTTGTTTTTAATTTGAGCACGAATTCCAATACATTAAACATACTAGTTTAGTAACGCGCGTTGCGCGTTCGTGGTAATGCCCAAGGCCATTGTAGGAACATTAATTTCTTGGTTTAGATTGAGTAAATATATGAGTAATATGAATACAATATTTGAATATATTGTTTGTTATTTACAAAATTACGAAATAAAATAAAATGAACTTTATGAGGGGAACACAAAAAAATGTGGCAAATTTAATAAACATGTATTAGTCCAATCTTGGAAGCCCTTGACAACTTCATCAGCAAGCGTTTTTACAACAAACTTAGTTTCATCACCATATCTTTTCATTCTTTCCCTTATATGAGACTCCATATTGCTTTGCATCTCATATGATTTTTGAAGAGCTTGCTTTAAACGTTTGAGCAAAATATGCATGAATAATCAATTGTAATACTTATGAGTAGAACCTTAGACACTTGCAAATATGTTATGAGTAAGTCTTTGAAATAAAAATACTTGGACCATGTTTTAATCGATCTTCTGTCAAGTTATTTAATTTCTAAGTTTCTTGAGAGATAATTTGAAATCGGTGTATATGTGGAGTTCTACCACTTTGGATGCCAATGTGGAGTACTGGAGTATGCTAGGGATGTTAGAGTGGTTGATGCTTATAAGCCTCTTACAGTTAGCACTTCAATTTTTTTTAAATCTAATTTTTTTAAATCTAATTACAAATTTAGAGTGTAAATCTAACTAAAACATTTGAGCACTTCAATTTTTTATAAATCTAACTTTAGAATGTTAGATAGTAAATTTGAAAAAAAGTTAACAAATTAACATTATTTATGTGCACTTGAATAAGCCGTAGAACTATTGGTCATATCCGAGGTAATTTGTTAATCCGTCACCCCGTACAACGCACGGGTAAAAGACTAGTTTAATCAATTAATAAATTTGAGTGCTATCAAACATGGTCTTAAAACACTATGAAGAACTCAATATTCTAATCCATCCATGTAAATAAGGTGTGATACTTTGAGAGTATCTTAAATAGGGAAAATTGATAAGAATAATCCCACATTTCACTGGTATTCTGATAATAATTCCACTTTTACATAATCCCGGAATAATCCCACCTTTGCATCACATCTTCTTTCATTGAACCCTTTTTTTGAAAATCTTATATAAATAATCTCACATTTGTAGGTCATCAATAGGTCAGGGTCCAATGGAAGAAGATGTGGTGCAAATGTGAGATTATTCTTGAATTACGTAAAGGTAAGATTATTATCAGAAGACCAGTGAAAGGTGAGATTATTCTTATCAATTTTTCCTCTTAAATATGATCATAAATAATTTACCCTAAATAGAAATAAAAGTCCTTTGAGTTTATGAAATAAGAATACTCCTACCTACTTTCTTACTTATGTACCTAAACCAATAATAAGCGCCCATTCGACATGACCATAATTAGGGTAGTGTTTCTATACAGAATGAAAAATATTCAATTGTACGTAGTATTTCAAAAAAAAATCAATTGATACTCATTATTTTTCCAGTTCGTAAAGGTAATGACAATTGATACTCTATTTCCACAACTTTCAACATTTATTCAGGCATTATTAAGAGAAAAGCTTTTGGCAGATGAAAATAGAAGCTTTTAGTACAAAAGTGCACAATAAAAACTCATTCGGAGTAAATGAAATTCCGGATGGCAACATACAAATCTTCGGCGCTCCTGGGATCAAACACCTCCACCCCATGATGCCCGGTATTCAGAAACTGCGGCACCACCCTAACCCCGTGCACCCTCAACCACTCCGCCAGCTCCTTCTGCCTATCCACCAGTGGGTCCCCCGCGTATCCTCTCACCAAACTCCTCGGCAGCCGTCCGATCTTCTCCCCCAGCTGGGGCCCATCAGTAAACGGGTTAGAAAACCCGTGGTCACGATCCGCCCCCTTCGGCAACGCGAGGGCCCACATCAGGTCGTTTGCGTGCAACGGGAGCACCTTATCGTTGACCAGTCTTCTCTCCGAATCGGTTCTATGGACCCCACCGAAGTACGGCTGGTTCATTATCAGCCCTTCGATCTTCACCGGAGAGAGATCGGTGTCGAGCGCACGCAATGCCGCGTGGTACACGATGTTTCCCCCCGCGCTACTCCCCATCAGGAAAGTTCTAGAGAAGTCCACCAGCTCAGCCATCCACGGATCGCAGTCCCCGCCGCTCGCGGCGGCCACCGCCTGCTCTCGTGCCCACACGAGAGCATCCACGGCGTCCTCGTAGGCTGCGGGGAGCCGGTGCTCCGGGGCGAGACGGTACTCGACGGATGCGACGACGGCGGGGAGCAGAGCCGCCATTTTGTTGCAGGATTCGTGGAAAACGATGGACGCGACGCTGAGAAGTACGAAGCCGCCGCCGTGGAAGTAGATGATCAGAGGGAGCTTGGACGTCGTCGGAGATGAGGAATTTGAATCGGAGGGAGGCGGCGGGGGGCGGAAGAGGCGGATGAAGGTGGCGGAGGAGGGGTTGAGAGGGATGTCTTTGGAGAGGGGAAATCGGGGATCTGATGGGTTGGAGGGTGAGATGGGAACGCCGTCTAGCCTGGTTACGGATCCATCAGCGTTGGGAACAATCTTCAGGAATTTGTAGGCTTGTTCTTCCATTTTGCTAGAATCCATGGAGTTTGATGAAGATGATAGCTGATCGTCGCTCATATTATAAGAAGCTAGCTAGGATGGGATGGGAGTTAGTTGGATTGATGAGATATTTATTGCAATTATAGGAGGAGATTATCGGAGTGGCGGCTCAGAAGTTAAAACACTCGCTCTCGACGAATGATTACTCTCTGCAGCAAGTCAGCAACCCACCACTTCTCTGCAACAACCAAACGACGAAGGAGCTGCGCAACAAAGGTTCCCAATCCGGTCGAAACTCGTCTAAACGCTGCTCGAATCAAAGGGAAAAGAGGCGTGGTGTACTGGGATCGTTTGAGTTCCCCTTCAACCGTCAATAACCGTTTGAATCGAGGTATTTCATCAAGTCAAGTGACTGTTGTACTTGATCAGGCGGTAGATGTGCAGGGATACCATGACACTTGTTCAGGCATTATTTTACTGTGCGCTGATGTATTGTGTCGAGTGGATTATGGATATATGGCCACCTCTCAGCATTCCACCGCATCTACATCCGCAGCAGGGTCTCCTCAGGAAGTCTGACGTGATAGAGTTGTTCTTCAGCCTCGTAACCAGTGCAGGCGTCCCCGAGCACAGCCACATGAACTTCATGATGATGATGATCACGTTGACTTATGATCTTTGTATTTAAATTATTGTGTGAAAGTTGCAGCATGCAGTGACAGATCGAATCATTTTGTGAAACACCAGATTTATTATAACTTTTATGATTTATTTCAAGTTTTGTGGTGCATTGATTCGTTTTGTGAAAGTTTCATAATATGTAGTTTCATTGATTCGTTTTGTGTTTTGGATGTATGTTGTCATGTAGTTTCATTTATTCGTTTTGTGTTTCGGGTGTATTTTGTCTTAGCAAATCATATGTTTGGTTGTTTTTTTGAGTAGAATGGACTGTGAGTTTGTGATGAGCACATTTTCGGATAACTACAGGTTTAGTTGTGTAAATAATAGTGCAGCAGCTTGCTTAACACAAGAACCGCCACTTGGAGTGTTGGCTTTCATACAGCAGTATAAGAGCCGCCACTCCAAGTGGCGGCTTTTGTGAAGCTGTACAAAAAAAGGCGCCACTTGAAGTGGCGACTTTTCTTAACCGTGGTTAACCCCAGCAGTATTTCGGGAATTATTCTTAACCCGACAGTATTTTGGGAATTATTTATTTAATTAGCATTATTTCGGGAAAAAACTCTGATATTTTACATATTGGCTATGTTTGGCAGGCATAAGTCTATGACTTCTAGCTTTTATACTGTTCAAAAAGTCTCTAAAAGCTTCTAGTTATATGTTTGGCATGACAATTTATAAGAGCTTTTCAAAAATTAAAAGATCTTTCTTGAGATGCTACAGGCAGTAGCATCTGAAAAAAGTCTGTGACTTTTAGTATTAATTAGGCCTAACAGCTTGTATACCAAACCGAACTAAATCAAACAGTCAGCTTCTTAGCAAACAACTACCACCTTTTCTATTTAAGATCTTTTCAGTCTCTAAAAGCTAACAGTTATTAAAAAGCTCACAAAAATATCTTTTCAGCTAGTTGTGCCAAACATACCCATTATCTTACTTTTAATTTCGGGTATTCTATGGTGCATAAATTTCGGTTATTCGGATCATTTAGCTCAGCCCACAATTGCTTTCATCTAAATATGCATGTTTCTACATAGTGTGGCCGTTTGGAGCCCCAATAATAGGCTGATAAGCCTGAAAGTGTGAAAAAATAACCAAACACATGCTACATGGGCTGTTTGGGCTGAATTTTATTATCAGCCAAAAAAGTAGCTATGAGGTTACTTTTTGGGCTGAAAGTGATTAATTGACTGTTGCTTACCGTAAGGACTCCTTTACCCCTATTAGTATACCGATGATCGACACAACGACACCCCTTCTCCTTCATGAATTTAGATCTACGCCTTCCCCTCAGTTGCGTAACTTCTCCTTCCAAGCTCTGCCTTCGACTCTTCTACGCAGAGGAGGTGGTCATCGACTCTATCGGACCTCAAAATGGAAGTCGCCGGTGATGCTTTGAAAGGAGTGCAGAGAAGTAAGTAGTCGGAACTTTTTAAATCTTTTCTTCCGCCATCGCAAACGACTTGCCGAGCCTGTTCTTCCTACGAATTTACGCTCCTACTCGGGGATTCAGACGATTCTCCATATTTGTTGGGTGTTCCATTACAAAGGAGTTATGGCACAGTTAGGTTAGGAGTTTATTAGTTCAGGTACGACCTCAGTTCTATGGAGGATGTTTTGGAGCTAATTCTATGGAAAAGTGCATCTTGATGATCTTAATTTGTTGGAGAATTTTGCTGGTGCGGAATAAAAGAGTCTCGTGCAGCAAATGAAGGCTTATTGGATGGGTTGACAACAAGTTCCATTTTCTAGAAAAACCCTCTATGGTAATTTTACACCTAATAAGTCATTTCAGCCAATATATTACCAAACACTTTCCTTTCACCTATTCAGTCTTTTCAGGCTTTTCAGCCATTCTAGCCGTTACCAAACAGGCCCAGTATGTGTCAGGAAGGTGCAAAACCCAAAAAGGCAAAAAGACGAATTTCCATTTGAGTGTGTGGAGATCAAAACAAGTGTCACCTGAAAGAACGAAAGGGTAGAAGTATACCAACATATTAGCGGGCTAGTCACAGCCCAAAGATTGACAAGAAATACCACCTCCATCTCACTTCGGTTTAAGATGTTCGACTGATAAAACAAACAGATCCCTATCCGCACTCAAATAATTTTTAGAAAAAATAAATTACATATTCAGAAACTACATTAAAAATTTTACAAAGTCGCAAAAACCAGAATCAAATTTGATAAAAATTTGATATATAAAGTTAGAGATTAAGAGTGATTTGTGTTGACTAAGTGAATACTGTCTGGAAGGATCTTAAGATTCTTAACCGGCCGGAGGGAGTAATATTTCCAAATTGGAAGTTAGGAGGAATGGAGGGTATGGTTTGGCGACTTTTGTTTAAAGTCGTTGCTCGCGCAAGAACTAGAAATTCATAAATTTCATTAGAATTATTCGATTCCTAAAAATTTATGTGATCTTAACTTTAAAACATACATCTACTTAAAAAAATTGTAGCCTAAAAAATCTCTACTCATTTTATTTTCAGAATTGTTTTTTTTTTATATATTGAATATTTGTGTCATATGAAGGTAATAAAATTTTATGAAATTTGATTTATTTTTCATGAAAATCCGATTATAAATATAAAAGTTATAACCATTTAAAGAAAAAGGTGGATTTTTTAAGTTAATGATTTTCTATTGCCTAATGCCTAGCCCACTTACTTTCCTGCTTCCTTCTTGCGTGAGTAACGGTTTTAAATGAAAGTCGCGCCAAATGATTTGGCGACTCTCTTTAACCAGGGTTATTCCAGCAGTATTTTGGTAAATAGTTCTAATCTGACCCTAATTTCGTAAATAATTTTTTATTTGGAATTATTTTTGAAAAAAACTCGAATTCCACTACATTAAACATAAAATGAATGGTCAGAAAAATTATTTATTCTAAAGTGAGAGTAGATTGTTTTTTCGTATGTTACGTCATGAAATGTAGTGTTTTTTGAATTATTTGTTACAAGAAATTTGTTTACTTGTCTCAGTTTTCTGGCACTTAAAAATGTACTCCGTAGTAGAATAGTGGTGCAAGTACAAGTATCATTTCCACGGGGACGGACAAAAGAAAATTAAGAATTAAATAAAATCAGCGATTAATAAGAAATAAAATAAATGCGATGTGCGAGATTGGATTTTTTGGAAATTAAACTAAGGCAATAAAACAACTAAACTAAAAGGTTCTTACTAATTAATGACGAAGAGAACGTGGATTGATTACAAGATAATCAGATTTCTGGCTGATCAGGCTTAATCACATGAAAATTATTTAATTGAGCAATGCTTAGCTAGTCAATACTAAGTTCTAACCGCTCTCGCGACGTAGAGTACAATAATTTAGGGAACAAAACAGATCTCTAATGCGACATGCATCTAAAATTATTGCCAAAACGAGCGAGCGTACGACCTCTTAATCGCTACTAATCTCTTAGCGAACGATTAAGTGTCTGTGAAGGTGACCTAGAATAAATTAGATCTCTCTTAATGTATTCTACATGCTATTTTAATTCTAGTGGTCATTCTAGGTTACAAGAGATATCAATTAAATCTTTCAAACACAAATAAGTATTCATGCAAGTTCAACCATCAATTCAACAAACTAGCCATACATCATGAATAACCCCTTCATCAATCCCAAATCCCTAATTAAAACTACTCACAATTCATAATTGAAGAATCAATAGGATTGGGAAAACAATAAACATACAAAGAATTATTTGTCATTATTTAAAAACAATAAACTTACAAAGAATCCCTAAATCTTGATAATCCGAGGCTTGAAAAGCTCTCCAAAATTGATCGGGATTTATCTCTCTAAGCTCCCCCTTGAAAACAAGAGTTTACAGGCTGTTTAAATAGAAAAAGCGGAACAATTCTGGCTGAAAAAGGAAACAGGAGTGTGGGCACGGTGTGCGTCCTCCATTGCGTCCGGCAGAAAATTCGCGAAAAATCGGCCACGCTCGGCGTGCATGGCCTTAGCTTCAGTAGCTCCTCCGTGATTTTATTCTTCCGCACACGGTGTGAGTCTTTATCTTCCGAATTTGACTATGTTTCCTTCATCAAAGTTGTAGATAATGAATTCTTCTATCCAACAAAATTTGCAAAACTGGATTTGAATCACCCAATCAAAAGGTATGAATAAAATGGTGGAAGGTCGCATCCTGAAATCTCAACAGCGATCAACCGAGTACTTCATCGTCTGTTTTCACTTTTCTCGTAATGGTGTCTTCAAATGATTTGTAGCACTTGAAGTCAGCTTTCATATGGAAGTTGAATCGTGTACATTGGATCTTTCTACACAAATATATGCTTGAACGATTGATAGAAAATCATCCTGATCGCCGTTTTCAAGCTCTATTCGTCTTTTTTATCTCCTAGTCAATCTAGAGCTCTTTTGTCATCAAATCTTCATCGTGAACCTCCTGATGACCTCCAAAGCTCTCGATTCACTCTCAAATATGTCTCGACTCGTCCCGATTGCTTCTCACACGCCGGGTGCCAGACTTAATTCCCTGGTTTTGACTCCAAAAATACCAAACACGAACCAACGCCCGGTAAAATATGACTTGAGCTAAAAATGAGACTTATGACGCCTTTAAGTTTTTGAGTGATTATGAGACTTGTAACTTTTACTCTAGAATTTTGCAAGGATTGTTTTATTTTAGCTTATTATTATGTACTAAATTGTTACTTAAACTTGATTTTTGTGGAAGAATTGAAAAATAGTTTGTGTTATTGTGTTAGATTGATTAAGTAAACAAGTGCAGAATTGTGCTATAGTAGTTGATGATACTTTTATTGATGTGATTATAGTATAAATCGGGGTCATATTGCAGTTTTTTTTGGAAATTTTTACACCGTTTGATAAAATAACTGTTGTGAAAGTTTTTCAATTCTACATGCATGGGTTATTGTAGATCCGATGTAAATTCTTCTACATCGGTTATAACCGATGTGATAACCGATGTGGAATATCATTTAAAACACCGTTTTGGACAATCTTCCAAATCGGTTGCTACACAACCAATGTAGAAAGGTTTTTCGGTTATTGAACAGATGTGAAAAGTCTCTATTTTTCTTTTTTTTAAAAACAAGTCATAAGAAATGTTTTTTAAGGCACATATTTTTCCTAAACTTTTTCTGAAAAGATCAAAACGTAATTATAGCTTTTATGAGTTCATTTATACTCATTGCAAGTCAAAAATTAAAAATAATCATGATTTATTCATTTATTGTTATGAACATTGTGTATCACAGTAGCTGAGTAGCATGTTTAGAGCATT